CGATCCGCATCGTGAAAAGGAATGGCATTGGCTCCAAGAAATCACGCAGACGGATCCGATACACCGCGCACCTCATCGCAAACCAGTCGGCTTCAGCGTCCCCTGACGACGTCATCCACCTCATGGACATCCCTGGATATACTCAGCTGATGATCAAGACCATCCTCTTCATCAACCACGCGGACCCCGACCATACCACGGCTCCACACCACGACAGCACCTACAGCACAACCACCTTCACTACAAATCTTTTCGACTCATACATGAGCTTCATCCAAGATACCGACCGAGTTCTTAGAAACCGCCTCGACCACGACCGCGACGCCCACCTCGAGCGCTTCTCCGACAACATGATATTATCAGCTGCAGGGAACGCCCCGCGGCAGGAATGGACAAACGTGAGGGCTTTACTCACATACGGCGGCCGCACACCTAAGAGAACTCCGACTCCCAAAATACGCCAAGACGATCACGGCGCTCCACTCACGACACCACAAGCCATTGCGGAGCACGCCCTTCGATACTACGGCAACATCGAGAACGGCATCAATACCGACATCGAAGGCGTCGTCAAGTACTACAACAACAAGACTGCGCACACAAAGCCGATACCCCACATCGACAATGTCCAGACCATCCACAACCTGACATCCTCCCTGGCAGCCGCCAAGAAAGGCAAACGCGGCGGGCCCGACGGGAACACCGACGACATGGCACGAGCAGCGCCGCGCCAGATTGCCCGACTTCTGCACCCCATCATGATGAAGATGCAACTGATGACGACGGAGCCTATTTCGGCGAAGGGCGGTTTCTCCACCCATTTCTCCAAAGGACAAGGACAGCTTCATCTGCAGAAAGCCTACAGGGGCATCCTCCTGAACAACACTATTGGCAAGATCAACAGCAAATTCCTGAGAGGCCTATTCCGCGACATCTTACCCGACCTGCTCATGGACACACAATGCGGCGCCGTCCCTCACAAGGCGACTGACTTCATCACTCACACCGCCTACACCTTCTTGGACGACTGCCGTACGCAGGCTCGCACGGGCAGCATCCTCTTCCTGGACTTGAAAGAAGCCTTCCATTCGGTAATAAGGGAGTTCATTTTCCAGCTGCCGACACAGGAGGACGAGCTCGAAGACGTCATCGACAACATCGAGATTCCCATATGCCTCCTCCCCTCCCTACGACAACGTCTTCGCTGTCCAGCACATCTCAACGCCCACGTCGACGACTCTCACCTCTGCGCCCTCGTTGCCGACCACCACGCGGCCAACTGGATGACCGCCAAGGGCACCGACGCATACGTGATCCCTCGCACCAGTACCAGGCCAGGGGTGCCATACTCCGACGCGGCTTTCAACATGCATTTCTCCCTAGTGCTTCAGGCCATCGCCGACGACGCTGAAGGGGCAGAAGACGGTGAGAGCGGCCACCACATCCGCCCCTGCGACAACCCGCTCTTCTCTACGGCCCCTCATCAAGGCGGCAAGCTGACCAACATGTCCTTCGTCGACGACCTCACCGACTTCAACTCGACCACCCGCCACTCCGACATCATTGACATTACAAGAACTTCAGCCGAACGTCTATGCCGTACAGCCTTTACCTACGGGCTCAAGCCACACCCAGACAAGACCAAGGTCATCATCTCCTTTAACGGGACGGGCTCCAACGTCGCACGCAGCAGGATTGCACAGCAGAACATTACATCAATCCAGCTGAGCATCATGTCGATCTCGGTCCAGATCACAGACCAGCACCGACTTTTAGGCACCATCCTAACCAACGGCAGCATGGGCCCCGAGGTGCAGAATCGCATGCGACGAACCGACGCTTCGGCACGAGCTCTTGAGAGGCAAATCCTAAGACGTCGACGCCTACCCCGCAAAACGAAGATCAAGTACGTGCACGCCCTCTCGACCGCCTCATTGACCTTCAACCATCACGTCTGGCCAACACTGACCCAGACTGACCACCAGCGCATCTCCAATGCCTACTCGAAGCCCTATCGCACGGCAGCTGGATTACCTAAAGCTAACTCGCAGCTTCATCATTTCACGGCCACCGAAGTAGTAGCTTACACCGGCATCCCCGACTTCGACCACCACCAGTCTGCTGGACGGCTGCGATACTTACCACGGCTTCTACGACACGCTCCTCAGCAGCTCCTCCAACTGCTTGACAACCAGCGACGGAGAAAGGGCTCATGGACATACATGCTTTTCCAGGACTTCGACTTCCTGCGTACATACCTGGACGACCAGCGCTGGCCCACGACCAGCAAGCTCGACCCCGACGTTTTTGCATGGGCTCGCACCACGCCGAAGCACTTCACCAACTCCGTCAACCTGGCCGTCACAAACTACATCCGCGCCTCCAAAGACCACGCCCACGCCGACAAGCTGACCAAGGTGTTCAGACCCGACGGCCCCATTGGTGCGGGCACCACACCATCACGCGACAACGGCGCCAGCAACTTCATCTGCTACGAGTGTGGAATCGTAACCAAGACCAAGCAGGGCATGGCAATACATATCGGACGTGAACACCGACGACCTGATCATCCGCGAAACTGGGCATCGGGTACATCGTGCAGAATATGCCGCCAGAACTTCCACTCCTTCGCCAAGCTAGTGAAGCATCTAACCACGGTCGCCCGCTGCCGACGGTCATGGCACATGTGGTACTTACAAGGACCTGCCCTCACGGAGGAGGACGTGGCCACCAATCAGGCGATCTACGCGGCCAGCATAGTCGACAACAAACGCAGAGGCCGCCCTGAACTATACCACCCTATCCCTGCCCATGCATCCGACGTCACTCCCTTGCCCGCCCTTGACCTATCACCTTCACCACCGCCATTCTTCCCGACTGTACCAGCGCTTACACCACCACCACCAGCCCACTACCCTCGGACACCGACCAGAAACAGATCTCTGCTTTACCTCACCAACACCGATAGACACCCGAACGATCTGCTCGACATCACGGACCAACGACTATGCTACAATGGAATGGCGATGGAACGGGTTACTATGACCTTCGATGATATCTACTCTGTCGATCACCCATCCCAGTACGACGCCCTCGACTCGATCCACCAGCACATTCGACAAGGCGACTTCGCGGGAGTGATGATCAACCTCTCACCCAGCACTTGGATCGACCAAGTCGATGGCGACCCGCACGACAGAAAGGCAGCATCTTCCAGAACAACCACGGACCCTTGGGGCAGAGTAAACCTTGGAGGTGAGGCAGCCGAACGTCGACTGATCGCGAACCACCACGCCCGCCTCGCCATCCACACCTTCCATGCTGCCCACGCTGCCGAAGTACCAGCACTACTAGCGCAATCTGCAGCCCCAGCAGGTCCGTCAGTGATGTGGAGTACTGAGCTGATGTTATACGCTACGGAGAATCTCGCTATGAGACGACCGACCATGGTAGACGACACCAGCAGCCTCTACGCCATCTACTACGGCCTCTCCCAGGAATACGGCAATCCCCTCGACGATTTCGTAACCTCCATTTTGGGCAGTCTGCCCCAGCATGAGGTCGGACGGCAGCCTGCTGATCCGACGACCCGAGCTGGCCGTAACATGGCCCATGACGGTCGAGACAGACGCCCACCACGGCAAGATGGCCGTAGCGCTCAAGGTGGCCGCCAACCCCATCCTGGACGCCCCCTCGAGGGCGAGGGGGGGGAGGACACGGTTAAGGCCTGACCGACCTGCCGCCGCCTGCGTGCAGGCCGTCATGGGGGTGGTTTCCCTTCCTCATCAGGCCTTTAATGAGCCCCCTCCTCCTGCTCCATCTTGCCACCCCCATGCGGCCTCTCCGGGAGCCCCCCCGAAGGAGGAGCATCTTGGCCTCCGGGTGCCCCCCCCCCCAAAATTTTTCTCGGCCCTTTTCGGCCCCCGCCCCTCCCCTTGCGAAGCCTTGGCGGCTTTCCCCTTGTCCTCCTGGCGGGGGTCTGTGTCGGGGGGTGGCCCCCCCTACGCGCTTCGGGCGCGCGCGTGTAGCCCCGGCCGCGCGGACGGCTGCGTCCGACAGGACATCGAGCCGATAGCGATAGCGATAGCGATAGGAGGAGGAGGAGGAGGAGGAGTCCCATACTGGCCGGCTCTGCGGGCCACTGGCAGCGATCCACCTTGGGCGCCCGCGCGGGGGCACGGCGCGACCCTGCCGTGCCCGCGGGGAGGAGCCCGCTGCACGGGCCAGGGCAAAGGACAGCCCCACGGGGCACACCCCCTGGGAGCGGCCCAGACGTCGCCCGCCGAGGCGCCAGGCCGAGCGCCCTGCCCTGTTGCAGGGCGTCAACGCCGCTGCGGGGCCCCATGGTGCCTCGGCGCAGGGGCCATGGCTGAGACGTGCCTGGCAGAGGTGGGGGGCGGGGAGGGGGGGGGGCGGCCCCCCTCCGAAGAGGACCCTGGGGCGGGCGAAATGAGACGGAGTCTTCCGCCAGACGGTGCAGCGACCTTGCGCGGTGGCTTACGCGGGCTGCCAGATTGGCACCCCGCGTGGAGAAGAGGGCGCTCGCGCGCGGCCTTACGCGGGCAGCTTGCGCGCCAGTGTCGGTGAAGTCGACCCCGTATTGTTCTGTCGCTCGCTTGGTTCGCAGAGACTAGATTTTAAGTCGGGCCTGTTCTCCTACAGGTGGATTTGGAGCAAAACATGAAACATAGTCCAGACAATACCCCCAAAATGGTCAAAACATACTTTTTAAACAATCGTCCCCTGACTATATTTGACTATCTGTACATATTCCTCCTGTAGAGGGACGTGCCCGACTCAAGACTAGATGCCGCTTTGAAGGCACCACCCGCAACCCTCACGGCAGAACCTGAGCGCGGCACGGCCAGGAGACGAGCGAGGCGACGCAGGAGGAATGACGAGGAGGGCGGCAGGGAGGAGCGTGGAAGACGAGAGGAGAGCGGCGACGACGACGACGACGACGACGACGACGACGACGACGACGACGACGAACCGCCTGCCTGAGTTCTCGATGGCGCTCAGAGTGGCCACCGCCTGCACGCGGGGGGAGGCGGGGCGCGGGAGACCGCGGCTGGCAGCCTGGCGGGGCCCGCCGCCGCCGACCGTGCGCCCAAGTCGCCGCCGCCGTGGCCGCTGGTGCTCCTCACCGAGGGCACGACCTCCACGGCGCGGGCTCCCGAGCGCCCTCCCCGCCCTGGCCGACATCTCCTCGCGGGCGGGCGGCTGCTGCTGCAGGCCCCGGAGCGCGAGGGGGGCGCTCCGGAGGCGGGTCCTGACTCTGTTCGCGACGCCGTGGATCCGAGGGAGGCGACAGGCGTCCACGGCGACAGCACGGGCGAGGGCCCGGCCGAACTGGCGGCGAGGGGCCGAGGTGGCGCGCCGCGTCCAGCCCAGAGAGGAGCACAGCGGCGCCACAGCCGATGGGACCCGATCCGAGCCGAGCCGCGGGCGACCGAGCGGGAAAAAGAAACCAGGACAGGGACTGGTGGGCTCGTTTTCCACCGCCACCACCATATCCTCCTCTTCTTCCTCCTCATCCTCCACCTCCGTCCCCCCTCCAACTCAAGGTTGTGGTGGTGGTGGTGGAAAAAAAGCCCACCAGGGACAGCATCGGACCAGGAGAGGCTGGTGATCTCCGAGAGCTGGCCGGTCTGGGCGTGTCTATCCGGCGCCGCGGCCATTTCAGAGCGCTCCAGAACGCTCTGGAAGCGTCTCATGTGTAGGAGGCCCGACCACAAAAAACCTTCCACAAGAAACCCAACCCTGAGACCCCAGGACGTCCATTGATTTTTGGCGTGGGAACGTCGCACTTTCCATGGCAGAACAGTCGAAACCCAAGAAACCCAGGGCACCCTGGAGGCGAGCAGGGTGTTTCTTGGTATGGGTCTCCACTATAGCTCTGGAGCGGTTCATCCGGATCCCGGGCCTGCCCGAGCTGGTACGACCCTCGACATACCGAACCGGCCGCGAGACCAAGATTCGACAGGGGCCAAAAACCGGACGCGGCCGACCGCGGCGGGGCCGACCGACTCGAACCGCAGACACCCGCGAGGGGGGCCCTCGACTTAGCGGGCGAAGAACGGTAGAACATAAACTTTTCCACCGTCGGGGGCGCCTGCCCCCCGGGCGACTGCAAAGTTTGTACCCCTACGTGGCACCGTAAAGGTACAAACTTTGCAGCCGCCCGGGGGGCAGGCGTCCCCGACAGTGGAAACGTTTATTTTGCACCGTCTTCGCCCGCTAATCGATGCTTGTCGATGCTTCTTGCACAGATTTCGGGTTGCGCACAGAGCGCCCCCCTAAAGAACCCTGGCTGGCCCCAGTGGGCCCCCCGAACGGTCCCACTTGGCCTCAGCAGGTCCCCCAAGTGACCCAGGGCGGTGCCAACACCTCAACCCACCCTGAGCGCAGAGCGCCCCAGGGGCGCCGGCGGAGGCGGCGCCAGAGTCTTGAGCCCGCTCTGGAAGACTCATGGGGGCCTGTTGAAGCCGGCTGGGACTAGGGGGGGTGCATGCGGAAGCCAGCGCGGACTACCTGAGGGGGCGGGCTCTGCGCAACCCGAAGCCTTACCGATTCTCCTCGATCCTCCCCCCCGATCCTCCGTCGATTCCCCTCGAAGCCACAGCGGGGAGGATGGCCAGCCCCACTGCGGCCCACATCCCGGCCACGCCTCCAGGCAGCACCGCGTGAGCCTGGCGTTGGCCGCGTGGGCGATGAGCAACGTGGTAGCGGTGGAAAGCAGGCCCTCACGGGGTCGCCGCTGCCGTCGGCCATCGTCTGTCGCCATCGCTCGTGGTCCGTCGTCCGTCGTCTTCGTCGTCTTTGTCGTCTTCGTCGTCCGTCGTCTTCGTAGTGGTCGTCTTCCGTCGTCTTCTTCGGTCGCCGTCGTGGGTCGCCGTCGCCCTCGGCGTCATCTTCGTCGTCGTCGTCCATGGCCGTCGGTCGTCGGCCAACCGTCGATCGTCTACGTGGCCCGTCGTCGTCGGTCGTCGTATCGTCGTCCCAATCATCGCCATCGTTTCCGTCGTTTCCGTCGACGGAATTGGAGGAGAAGGAGGCATAGGAGGGGGAAAGGGATAAGGAGGGAAGAAAGAAGAGCTCGTTGCAACACGTCCCTGCAAGGGGAACACGACGCACACTGTCAAAAGGTTATTGCAAGTGAAAGCTGGCTCCAAACAGCGCGCTTGCGCCGTGCACCGGCGCTGTGCCTCCCCCTCCCCCGCCGCCCCATCCTCCCTCTCCAGGTGTCTCCAAAGCCCCCAGAAGACTCTGCAGGTCACCGAAGTCCCACAAAAGGCCCCCCGAGCCTGGAGCCCTCCTCGATAAAATCCCTCCTCTCCCTTCTCTAGACGAAAAAAACAGCATACAGATGACAAACTCGTGTGGGCCCGTGGATTGCATCCAAAAAGTTGAGCGGATCGAGGCTTGGCGGCGCGCGCTGGATTGTGCGAGGCTGTCAACTACTGCCGTGGTTCTTTTGAAGCTTGCTCTAGTGTTCTCCCACTGCAAGCGCCTGACGCACTGATGCGGAGGCCGAACTGTTCGAGTTTCACGAACGCAAAGGGCTCCAGAGTCCAAGCCGGAACAGCGTTGTTGGAAGATTCACGATGGGATCGCGGCGGAAGTGGGGGAAGGCTGGGGCATACGCGGCGCCGTCGCGAGTCTCGTCGGAGGCGTCGGATCGGCGCCGCGGCAAAGCAAGGATCGCAGCGGGGCAGCGGCTTCAGGAAGTTCAAAAGACGATGCTCCGAACCAAGATGTCGCTGTCAAGATTGCATACCGTCGCCTCTCTTACTCGCCGCCGATCACGCGGAGCGAGAAGGCGTGGTGTTCGTCGTCCTCGTCGTCGTCCAGAAGACAAGTATCCAAGGCAACCAGAGCGTCAAAATTTGCTCTCTTGGGGCCGCGAGGGACCTCTCGCCTCTCGTCCGCACCCTTCTCTTGGAGGCAGTGTTGAATCCTTGTGGGGGGCCGTTTGGGAACGCCTAAAATGCTCTTTTGGGCCTCGAGGGGGCCTCGAGGGGCCCTCTTGGGCTGTGCAGGGCGCCTCTTGGACCGCTGTGGGGCCGTATCGGGGCCGTGTTGGGCCATCTTGGGCGCCTCTGGGTCCGCCTTAGGGCCATCTGGGGCTGTCTTGGGCCTCACTCGGGTTCCACTTAAAATTCTCTGGGGCCGTCTTGGGCGCCTCTTGGGCCGTTCAAGGGCTGTCTGCAGACATCTTGGGGCCCTCTTGGGGCGATTTTGGAGGCCCCTGGGGCCGTCTTGGACGCTTCGACAAGACAAACGCTACTCTGCTGAACATGTTCCTTCTGGAATGAAAGCGGCGATGTGTGCTTGATGGAACCCTCTTACGGGTCGCCTTGGAGCTCTCTGGAAGCATTTTGGAACCTCCTCGAGCACGGAGGATCACCTTTGGAACCGTCTTGTACCGTTTGGGGTGCCTCTTGCGGGGCTGACAGCGACTGCAGGATGTTGTGGCCGTTGGGGGGCAGCGTGGATGATGTTTGGAGCCTTCTTTGGCCGTCTGCGTGCCATCTGAGAGCTGCTGTGGGGCCGCTTTGGCACCTAGGGGACCAGGCGCCCCGCACCCCGCCAAGCACCTTTCGGATGTATGTGACTTGATGTTCGAAGGTCTGCGCGGATTTCTGGGATCGACGCTGAAATCCGCTCCCACCAGCGGGTGCCAGCGCGAACCTAAGAAATCCGCGCGGAGCTGTGTTTATGATTATGCAATTTGTTGCCCGCTCCCTAACAGCATTTCGCTATACTGGAGTTCCCCTAAAAACGTGACAGCGAAAGGTCAACAGAGTCCCACACAAAAGGGAGGCGGTGAGCCCGAGGCCGTCCAGTCTGGCAACCGTTTCCCCTGAGACTTCTTCACATGGTATTCACGAATCGTTCTCTGGCCGCAACGCTGCTTACATGTTTGATCCAAACGGCCTCGAAATTGTACATGACCGTGCGTTTCCTAGGAATCCTCAGCACCACCGTGGAATGCGTTTTTGCGCTCGCCGAACTCCTACTCCTCGACCCGTCTCTTCACCATCGCTGCCTTCAGGGTGCAATGCTGGGGTCATGCGGTTCTTTGTCCTTCGACTCTCCCAGCCGCCCCCTCCCTCCCAGCCCCCCCCTCCTCCTGAGAGGCCCCGACGGTTCCCCCCCTCTACGAGCGGCCGCAAGAGGAGGCGGCGGCGCGGGCCGCTCCTTCTGCACGGCCACGGCGCCGCTGGCGGCGTCGTCCTCGATCACCTATGCTCCCGAGGAGGAGGAGGAGGAGGAGGAGGAGGAGGAGGAGGAGGAGGAGGAGGAGGAAGAGGAGGACGAAGAGGAGAGGAGGAAGGAGGAGGAGGAGGAGGAGGGAGGAGGGAGGAGGAGGAGGAGGAGGAGGAGGAGGAGGAGGAGGAGGAGGAGGAGGAGGAAGAGGAGGAGGAGGAGGTGACCAGACCGAAAACGAGTGCGCAGAGCAGCAGCAAAAACAGGCAAAGAGCAGGAAAAAGGGCGAGCGCGCGCAACACGACGGTGAGGACAATAACCCAGAGGGGGCTATCTCACACGAAGCCAAAAGCATGCATCGTCAGAAGAGAGAAGTGGGCAGGGGTCCCCCCGCCACTCCCTCGGGACGGGGTCCTTGCTCACCTTGAGGGACTGAGGTAGGTGGCATCCTTACTGGATGCACTGCCCGCACAATGGCCCCTGAACCTCGACCTAGAGGCCAACGGCAGGGCCCGAGCGCCGCAGCGCAGGCAAAATGCAAGGGTGGCCCCAGCAAGGCGAACCTGATGCCATCGTGAACTACTAGGTAGGCCCGACAGGGACTTGAGCGGGGAGGGGGGCGCCAGGGAGGACAGCACCACGCGAAGCCCAGGACAACCCCCGCCGCGGACGCACAGTGGCCCGAGCCCTCTTGCAAGGCGGAGGCCCGCCAGGGCCGCCAGGGGGGGGGGCCGTTAGGGCCGCCGGCGGGAGGCCGGGCCAAGGGCCGAGGGGCCTTCGGGCGCGGCCTCGATGACGCCCCCCCCGACCGGGTGCGCACGCGGTGGGCAAGGGGGGGGGCGCCGGCACGGGCTCCTCGGAGCCTCGGGGGCGGGCGGGCATGGCCAGCCGTCCCGCCGCCTCCTCAAAGTCCTCGCCCCAGCGCTCCCTCCTCCGCCCTGAACCTCGCCCGCTGAGAAGCCGGGGACCGCTCGAGGCCCACGGTGGCCAGAGGCGGCGGCTCGCCGTCGTCGGCGGCGGCCACATCAGAACGGGGCGCCGCGCCGGCCTCGGAGAGGCCCTCGGCCCCCGCAGACAATCCCAGAGCGCCCAACCCCACGGAGCCCGACGCCGCGCGGAAAGCCTCAAGCGAAACGCCCTCGAAGCCCCAGAGGGCCGCCGCCTCGGCAACCCCGCGCGCGCCCCGCTCAGTTATCGAGGCGCCTTTGGCGGAGACCGCGAAAGGGGGGCAACGACCGCAGGTCCATGTCTGGCCCCTGCGACGCACCAGGCGCGGGAAGGCGAGGGCCTCGCGGCCGGGCGGCCGCGCCAGCCCAGGGGCGCAGGCTCGAGCGGCCCCCGGGAGCTCAGCCCGCAGCTGCTCCCAGCGTCGGCGCAGGGCGGGGGCGCGGCGCCCGGGCGCATGGTCGCGGCCGGGCGGCGCGGTGCCGTCGAAGACCATGCGGGAGGACGCGCGGACCCAGGCGGCGACCTGGCGCGCGCGTTTCAGGGCGCCGGCGCGCGCCACCACGACGGATTGAAGGAGGTCGTGGATCCTGCGCCCCCTCTTGGCCGCCATGTCGGCCAGGTCGTCGCGCACCCTCTCCCAGGCGTCGTCCTTGGAGTGGCCCTCGACGCGCGTCGCGCGGATAGGCGCGCCCGCATCATCGCCAAGGGTCACCCCGCCACGATCGTCCACGTAGTGGTAGATCCGATGCCAGGGGCCCGCGTTCTCGCGCCTCGGGGAGCAGCGCCATCGCCGCCCACGCTGGAGACCCTCCAGCAGCGGCACGTGGTCGGTGAAGATCCGCAGCGGGGCCACTCCCACCGTGGAGACCTGCGGCGCCGCGCGCAGCTCAGCGCGCCCAGAGGCGCGGCGAACCCCAAGGAGAGGCCCGACGGCTGCGCCCGAGCACGCGCCGCCCCCCACGACCACGAAATCCCAGCCAGCACGGTCGGCGACGTCCCAGCGCAAGGGCTCATTGCAGGGGCCGTCGGTGAAAACTGAGCCCGCCACGCTGAAGTTGTCCTCGGCCCTGGCACCGCGATCGCAGCTCCAAACGCCACTGTCGTTGCGAGGGGGAAGGGCTGACCAGAAAGAAATGGACGCAGCCCTCTCGAATGCAGCAGATCACCCGGCACTGCGCGGCGCGCGGCTGCCAGAATGGCATCGCCCACCGCGTGCTCTCGCACGCCATCGAATGCCGAACAAGCCCAATACCTGTGACGCAACGCGCCGCACACCCCAGGCCAGCGCTTACGTTTCCCGCCCTCGGCATAGGCATGCTGCTGCAAACGCCGCTGCGAGAAATTACCACCCAGCACTGCGGTGCGCAACGCTGCCCTCGCCTCTGGATCCAGCGCCCAGCGCTTCGCCATAAGACCAGGGCGTAGCAAGCTACGGATCGGCGCAAGCCAGGCGTCTGCAAGGTCCTTGTGCGAGGGGCCACGGATCTCGAGCACGGCGCCGGGCCTCATCGACCACTGCAGCCAGCCGTGCGCCTCGTAATCCTTGAGAGCGATCCACTTCGCCAGCGCTAGGGCACCCCCATCAGGCCACGAGCCCCGGCGTTCCGCGTGCTAGCGTTGAAGGCCGAGGAACACCTCCATCCCAGCACCAGCAACGATCGAGCAAAGGCACCAGCAGGGCACGAACGCGCTTCCACTTGACATCGGAGCCCACCGAGGCGACCGCGAGAAACTGACACCTCCACGCCAACTGCATCATGGCAAGGTCCACGTCCCCAGTGTGCACCATGACCGACCAGCTGTGCACCGGGCCTTCGATGGCGATGGTGTCAGGCTGATGATCGGGCGCAGGGTCCAACCGCGACGCCGCCCAACGCGAGCTCCCAGATGGGATGGCCTGGCACCCCCGCTTCGCCAACGAGGTCGCGCGCTTGACGACGCGCGGGGAGGGGGGGGGGGGCGGCGACGCCCAAGCTGCAGGCGATGACAAGGCCCACTGCAGCGCGCGCGACCTTCCTGAAATTGCCCCCCAGCGCGCTCAGTCTCTGGAAGTGCCTGAATCGCATGGCCACCATGCGCACCCGACGGCGCAAGGCCAGGCCCGCGGATTTCTTCCCAGCGCCGACCTCCAGACCAAGGACCTCGAGCCAGGCCAGCGGCCTGAAGCCGAACCGACGCAGCTTGGCGTCGGGCGCTGCGAGCATGGCCTTGGCCTTGGCAACAGGCAACCCCCGGTAGATGAGCGCGTCGCACATGAGCTGGGCGGCTTCGCGCGCCCTCCGAAGGGGAAAGTCACACTTGGAAATCGCCTGCAACGTCAGATTATCGGCGAAGATGTCCAGCGAGAGAGAAAGCCCTCGCCGGGATGCTGCGCGAGAAATCAGGTCTCCAACGCGAACTGATCCATGTCCGACAGCATCGGGAGCTGGAGCAAGGCCATCACAAACTTGCAACCAGGGAGCACCCCCTGCTGGACCACCACCGCATACGACGCGGCCGCCAGGCAACGCCAGCATATGCGGTCGAAGCACTTCTCGATGTCCACGATCGCGGCGACAACCCCGTCGTCGGACACGAGCGACGCCTCGGCGCGCGGGAGGGCCCGCGCTGCCGCATCCAGGGTGGTCTTGCCCGCCGCCAGCGCGAAGAGGGGCCTGTCGTGCTCGAGCGGCCGCGCCCGCAACTGCTGCGCCCGCGCCTGGGGCCAGAAACGGCAGGTGGCTTGCAGGAGCGCGGTGGGTCGCCATCCCTGACCTGGCCCACCTTCGGCGCGGGCAGCGCGGCCTTGGGAAACCGACGAATATCGCCCGCGATCCCAGCGGCGCAATCGAAGTCGCCCAGGTGCCCCACGCCAAACCCGACATCGCCAGCGCCAACACTTTCCACGGACTCCAACGCGGGCACGTCGGAGACGGCCTGCGCGCGCCAGAAGCGGGACCACCCAGCCATCTGATCACCAGCAACGCCCTGCGCAAGGGTGGAGCGGCTGCCTTGCCGCGGCACTTCGGGGCGCGGTACCCCGAGGGGCCTGGTTAAGCTGAACAGCAGCTTCACCCTCTTGTCGTGGCGATCCGCAGCCCATTGCGCGAAGGCCCGCTGCTTCCCCGCAATGGCCTTGTCCTCCAACGCCCGGGCGAATGCCTGGGGCCAGGCGACTGCAGCGCGCGCAGCCTCGACGGCCGCCTCGCGCGCGCCCGCCAAGTCAATCCGCGGGCAGCAACCAGTAAAGAAGGCGTCGTCGTCAGGCAGCGGGCCTGTCCCAGGGTCGGGCTCGAACTCGCGGGCGCTGCGATGGGGGCCCCCGGCGCGACCAACCACTGCGCCGCAAGCCTCGCCTTCCCCTGGGCCCCCGCGGGTCGGCCCCGAAACGTGGGCGCTGCGAAGGCCGCCCCCGTCGCGACTAACCCCTGCGCCGCGCCCCTCGCCCCCCTGGCCAGGCCCGCGCCGCCGCGGCCGCCGGCAGGTCTCGCGCATCCAGGCGCATCCACAGCAGGCCCCCCGGCCCGCAGACAGACCCCACGGCCCAGCAAGTGCGCGACAGGCGGCCTCTTGCCACAGATGCGCCCGCGCTTGCCCCCGTCGACGAGCACCCCGGGCAGCGGGCCAGAGCTCGTCCTGGACGCAGCGGCGGCCTCGCCAAATAACGCCTGGCAGCCGCTCCTCCACGCGGGGCGTTCGCTCGGCTGCCCCTGGCTCGGGGGCGGGGGTATAGGGTGCTCGGCGAGCTGCCCCCCGCCCAGCCCTGACCAACGCACCGCCCCATCCGGGCTGACGCGGCCCCGCCCGCGTCGCCACTCCAGCGACGGCGCGCTTGCCCAACCGCGCGCTCATGGCGCGCGGAGGGCCCGCGGGCACCACGACAGTCACCTCCTCCAGGGCGTCGGCGGGCTCGCCGAAGCCGGCCTCGAAGAGAGGGGCAGGCCTCCACGCGAGCCCCCGCGGGCCACAGCACGCACCGCATGACCCCCGACGAGCGAGCCAGGCCCATGCCCGAGTTCCCCGAGAAGCGGGCCATAGTTCGAGCGATGCACGGCGGAACCCCCGTAGAGCGGGCCAGACCCACGCAGTAGCTCCCCGCGAAGCGGGCCAGAGCGCGCCCCCATCGCAGTAGGGCCCCCGCTGAACGGGCCAGGCCCATGCTGGAGCTCCCCGAGAAGCGGGCGAGAACTCGAGCAATGCCCAACGGTGCCCACGCAGAGCGGACCCGGGCTCCCGTGGCGACGCCGAACCTGGCCGCTCAGGTCTGTTGATGGCCCCCCAGACGAGACGACGCCGCGGCCGCTGGCAACGCGCTGGAGCCGCGCTGAGGAGGGCCTGGAGGTTGACCAGCGTGGTGGCGAGGTTCGCCAGGTCGACCCCGCTGCTCCCAGCGGAAGAGGCGGCGACCGCGCGCTGGGTTGAGGACGGTCTCGGCCTCGAGCGCGGCGATCTCCTCAGCATAGGCGGCCTGCTGCACACGGAGGCGCTCCACGGCGGCCAGCGCCTCAGCCAGGGCGGCCTCCCCCTGAGCCGCGCTGGACTTGGCATCGTCCAGGCGCTTCTGCAGGGAGACGAGGAGGCGCTCTGGCGGCTGGGCTCGCCGCTCCGCCGCCTCCAATACAGTGAGGTCGCCCGTGGCCGCCACGATGAGCGGGTGGTCCTCCGCGTACTTGAGCCGCTGCAAGGCCAGGTTCCCTTGGCGGGCTCGGGCCACGTCGGGGCTGACGGGCTCGCCAGCTGCCGAATCGCCAGGAGGGGGGCCACGGCCACCAGCAGGAAGGTCCGAGCGACGACGGCGGCCAGCGGACGACGAGCGCGGGCCGTCAGACGCGGGGGCGGTCTCGCGCAAGCGCCCTGGCCGCTCGCGACCGCACTTCCAGCACGATTCCCGCGACCCGAAGTTGTGGCGGAAACCGCACAGCCGCGATGCCGAGCAAACCCTGACGGGGCCCTGTCCAGCGCCAGCCGCGGGGCGCCGCTGCGAGGGCTGGGCCATGCGGCCGTCGGCGCCGCTGGGCGGATCGCCGTGGTGCCCAGCGAGTCGCCACCGCGCGGCGTCGCAGCAAAGCGCGTGCCGCGCCCCATTGCGGAGGCGCCGCTCGCGGCGGTGCCACGCAAGGGAGCGGGACCTGTCCAGCTCCAGCCCTGCAGCAGCCAACGCGGGGGCCATGAAGCACGCGAAAAGCACCGCCGCCCGCTGAACACGGGCAGGCGGCTGGGGTCGGAGGAGGAAAACCTGGGTGTAAGCCCAAGAGTCATCAACGATGCGATGTTGGAATTGAGTGACCCTCCCTCCAAGTTCCCTCTTCATAGGCCCCTACAGCGGCTCATTTCCAATGAGGGACCTGCCTCGTTGGAAGGCACCCGTTATAAGACTTCGAAGCATGTCAAAAAATGTTGTTAGGATTTCCACTCCACGGATCAACCTGACTGTTGCGCCTGACGATCGGGAATCGTGCCAAAACGCCATGTGGGGGGCTTCGGCACCACGAGTCAACATAACTCAACTGTTGCACCCGCATAATCCTGAATCGTTCCAACACAAAATTTCTGGTACGCTGATCATGGAAATCCGTGAAACGTTGGCGAATGTTTACAACGAATGTGCGCGGCGCTACGGCGAGAGCCACGTTTTGAAAAAGAACCGCCATTAATCCGTGAAGCTCTTGCAATTTGTTTTAACGAATGTGCGCGGCGCTAAGACGAGAACCACATTTTGAAAAGGACCCGCCCTAAATCCGTCAAGCTCTTGCACTTGTTTTAAACGAGTGCGTGCGGCGCTAAGGCGAAAGCAACATGTTGAAAACGGCCAGCCCTCAATGTGTGAAGCTGTTGCCATTGTTTAAGCTTCAGAGTCATAAGCGTGAGGAAGTCTCAGGCGAAACGCCCTGACCGGCCCAAAAACTAGCCTCGGGGTGCGACAAGGAATATTATTTGTAAGGAAAAGCAATGGATGGGGGGGGGGAGGGGGCGACGACCACCACGACGGGGGCGACAACGACCCTGACCTCCGAGGGCCTGATCGTTCACTCCCGGCGCTTAAGCGTGATCTCGGCCGCCAGGGGCCCTCCTCGGGCCCTGGGGCGACAAGCTGGCCCCGGAAGAGGGGTCGTCGGGAGCTCTGCGGCCGCGGACTGAAGAGGACACACCGGAGGATGTCTGGGCAGGACACCGACGACTGGACGAAGGAAGGGCGCCGACGAGGACGGGGAGGCGGGCGAGGACGGTGACAGTGAAGGCTGGGGTGGGGGGGAGGCAGAGGGAGACAGGGGGGATGACGGAGGAACGGGGGGGGAGAGGAGAGAGGAGTCAGGAACAAGGGACGACGTCGAGGACGAAGGGGAAAGAGGTAGAGGGGAAGGGAATGGAAGAGGGGAGACAACATTGGATGCGTGGCACTTGATACCGTCGTGTGAAGGTTGCGTCGGGACCCCCTCCTTAAGGCCCTGCGGCGCTCTTCATTGCCTGAGGGACCTCAGGTGGTGCCCCGGCCCCCTCCATTCGCATTGGCCCCACGCAACTCCTGACTACGATGGGCACTGCAGACTCTGTTACGCCTGCTGGCGGCCATCACAAGCGAAGCCTGCTCGTGGACCCCACCACCTGGGGGAGGGCGAGACAGAGGGGTGGGGCGTCGCATGCGCCCGAAGTACTTCTCGAAGATGGGAGCTCAACGGGCACCGCTGCTTCATCCAGGGAGCGACCTGCACAGTGTGTGTTCGCTTTTCCTCGCCTTGTCTTCCATCTGCCTCGGCTGAAAAACGAAACCGAAACGAAAACGGTCCACGAAATCGCCCAAACACCGTCTAGGTCGAGCTTGGGCATGTCCTCCTACAGGCAGATTGCGGGCGAAAATTAAGAAATAGTCCAAAAACCCCCCCAAAAGAGTCGGAAGATACTACAAAAATCGTCCCCTGATTATTTTTGGACTATTCTTGAACATTCCTCCTGTAGAGGGACATGCCTGACTTCAGCCTAGGTCGAGCCCAGGTTTCATCTCGTCACGCCGTCGCCGCCGGAGTCGTCGCCCTCGCAGACGTCGCCGGCGGCGCCCTGCTCGTGAGACCCCCAGGGCCCCGCGGCGGCCCGCGCGGGCGGCGAGCCGACCGCTCGCTGTGCTGTGCTCGTGACGCCTGCAGGTCTGCAATCGTCGTCGCCGTCCGTCGCCCGCCGTCGTCCTCGATCGTCCGTTGTCGTCCGGCGTCATCCGTCCTCGGTCGTCTTCGTCGTCGTCGCCGTCGTCGTCGTCTCGCCCGTCGTCGCCGTCGTCGTCCGTCGTCGTCGTCGTCGTCATCGTCGTCGCCGCCGTCGTCGTCGTCGTCGTCTCCGTCCATCGTCGTTCGACGTCGTCGTCGTCGTCGCCGTCCGTCCGTCCGTCCGTCGTCGTCGGCCGCCGTCGTCGTCGCCGTCGTCGATGTCGTCCGCTGTCGTCGTCGTCGTCGTCGTCGTCGTCGTCGTCGTCGTCATCGCCGCCGTCGTTCTTCGTCGTCGTCGGTCGTTCGTCATCGTCTTTTTCATCGTCGTCCGTCGTCGTCGTCGTCGTCGTCGTCGTCGTCATCGTCCTGGTCCTCGTCGTCGTCGTCAGCGTCGGTCGTCCATCGTCGTCGTCGTCGTCGTCGTCGTCCGTCCCCGTCGGTCGTCGTCGTCGTCGTCGTCGTCGTCGTCCGCCGTCGTCGTGGTCGTCGTCGTCGTCGTCGCCGTCGTCGTCGTCGTCGTCGTCGTCGTCGTCATCAAATATCCTCGTCGTCTTCGTCGTCGCCCGTCCGTCGTCCGTTCCTCGTTCGTCGTCTTCCGTGTGTCATCCGCCCTAGTTCGTAGTCGTCAGTCGTCCACCGTTCGTCCAAGCCGTCGCCGTCCGACGTCCGTTGTCGTCCGTCCTCGTTCGTCGTCAATGTCGTCGACGTCGTCCGCCGTCGTCATCGGCGTTGTCGTCCGTCATCATTCGACGTCGTCGTCATCGTATGTCCGTCGTCGTCGTCGTCGTCGCCATCGTCGCCGTCGACCTCCGTTGTCGTCGACGTCTGTCCTTCGTCTCTGTCGTCGTCATCGTCGTCAGCGTCGGTCGTCCTTCGTCGTCGTCGTCGTCCGTCGTCAACCGTCATCGTCGTCGTCGTGGTCGTCGTCGTGTTCGTTCGTCCGTCCGTCAGTCGTCGTCGTGCGTCGTCGACGTGAGTCGTCCGTGGCCCGCGGTTCGTCGTCACAGCCGTCGACTCGACGGCCAACGCCTTGCAGAGCACGCGGAGCACAGCGTACAGGCAGCCCAAGTCCGCGTCTGGGGCGTCCGTGTTCCCCCGCAGCCACGAGCAGAGCGCAGCGGCCAGCCTCCGGCAGCGCGTCTGTGTCGTCCACCGTCGGTCGTCGTCCGTGGTCTGCCGACGCCAACATCGTCGTCCGTTGTCGCCGTCGTAGCTGCCGTCGCTTGCTGGTGCCCGAGGGAGCCTCCTCCGCCCCTGCTGGGCCCAGCCATCCACGCCGTATTTGATTAAAGCATCATCTCGCTCTGCCGTCCCTCATCCCTTGATCACTTGTATCTCATTCCTGCTTCTCCTCCTCTTCGTCCTCCCACGTCACCGTCTCTTCTACATATCTCCTGTCCTCGTCTTCCCCGTCAAAATTCCGCCCCCTATTCCTCTGCCTCAGGCTCCTCTTTTTTGTTCCCCCTCCTACTCCTCCCCCTCTGCCCTATCCTACCTTCTCCCTTCCCCCATCCATCCCCCCCCTCCCTCATCACTTCTCCTCCTCCTCTCCTTACTTCTGCACACTAAAGGCCCCAGGAAGCCCCGCGATGGGACCGCGTCCCTGCTGGCGTTTCTCGACCTTGTCGTCGTCGAACTCTCCCGAATGCTCCCCATCCTCCCACACGTCCTCCGGGGGACTCGGGTTGGCCTGACGGGACCGTCAGGAACATGACGAGACCCGGTCTGAAATTTCACGCGAGCTCCCGCTGCAGACATCTCACGAAGACTGGACCGCCAAAACTCAGGACACGGGCCCGTCAAGAAGCGGCGGCAGATCCGAGCTCCGGCGAACCCGAGTCCTACTTACGTTCGACTGCGAACCTGGGGGGGAAGTGAGAAGGGGCGGGCCTTCTCAGAAGGCCCAAAGTCCTCGGGCCTTCGGATGTTTTTCAGTCTCCCACGAAGACACAAGAACAATTTCTCTCAAAGGCATGTTGGCGTCTGAGAAGCCCCGCCGCCTTCTGAGAAGGCTTGCTCCTTCTTGCCTCCCCCTTTTCGAGCAGGGACCGACTACCACGGCATAATCTTATAACCCAAAATGTTCGAATCACGACAACAATATTCTCAGAACATACGCCCGATGTGTTACAACAATACAGTCTCGGCCAGAACATAGAACATTCCGTGCAGACCACAAGAGGTTCTTAGAGCATTCTTTGCTGGGCCGATAAGCAAGCCGGGACGCTTCGCCACTGCCCGACCCCTCGCTCGCCACCGTTTCGTTCACCCGGTCGGGTGGGAGCCTCTGCTGGGTCTGCGCGTCCACGCTCGTCGGGACGCCGCTGGCGAGCACCGCCTGGCAGCCGTCGGCCGCTGGCGGGGGAAGCCGGCGGCCGCGAGGAGCGGGGCCGCCGGAGCACAGCCTGCTGCTGCTTCCTCCTCCTCCTTCTCCTCCTCCTCCTCCTCCTCCTGCTCCTCCTCCTCCTCCTCCTCCTCCTCCTCCTCCTCCTCCTCCTCCCTCCTCCTCCTCCTCCCCCTCCTCCCCCTCCTCCTCCTCCCCCTCCTCCCCCTCCTCCTCCCCCTCCTCCCCCTCCTCCCCCCCCTACTCCTCCTCTCCCTCCTCCTCCTCCTCCTCCTCCTCCTCCTCCTCCTCCTCCGCCTCCTCCGCCTCCTCCTCCTCCTCCTCCTCCGCCTCCTCCCCTCCCTCCTCCCTCCTCCCCTCCCTCCTCCCCTCCTCCCTCCGTCCTTCCTCCCTCCTCCCTCCTCCCTCCTCCTCCCTTCTCCTTCTCCTCCTCCTTCTCCCTCCTCATTCTCCTCCTTCCTCCTCCTCCTCCTCCTCCTCCTCCTCCTCCTCCTCCTCCCTCCCTCCCTCCCCCCCTCCCTCCCTCCTCCCTCCCTCCCTCCTCCTCCCTCCTCCCTCCCTCCCTCCCTCCCTCCTCCCTCCCTCCTCCCTCCTTCCTCCTCCTCCTCCTCCTCCTCCTCCTCCTCCTCCTGCCCCTCCTCCTCCTCCTCCCTCCTCCACCTCCTCCTCCCTCCTCTCCTCCTCCCTCCTCCCTCCTTTCCTCCCTCCTCCCCTCCTCCTCCCCTCCTCCTCCTCCTCCTCCTCTCCTCTCCTCCTCCCTCCTCCTCCTCCTCCTCCCTCCTCCCCTCCTCCCTCCTCCTCCCTCCCTCCCTCCCTCCTCCTCCTTCCGTAGCCATTTTGGCTCAAGTCGCAATCTGCGGTATCCCCGCCCCTCGAGGGGCAACAGCGCCGACTTCCGATAAGCCTGCTCCCGACGCTGCACCAATCAGCGACCCGCAGGCTTCTTTTGATTTTGGCCACTATTACGCACTTTTCCCCTCATCCCCGCAGACAGCCGCCATGGGCAAGGGTTCTTACTCTTGTTGCTCTAAGCGTGGCTGCCGTGGTTGGGAATGGGCTCCCAAGAAGTGGTGCTCCCAGTGCGGGTCCAGCCTCAAGGAAGGTTCCATGGGCGGCAAGGCAGACGCTGACGCTTTCCGTCCGAGAGGCCCGCGCAGAGCAGGGTCCCGCCCACCGCCTCAGACCGCCGCAGCTGAGGAGGCAGAAGAGACACCTAAGCCCCAGGAGGGACCGCCTGATCCAGTGGCATTGGCGCAGGCCCAGGTGTCCTTCTGGCGCAAGTGGGTGGGAGTCGACAAGAAAGAATATCACGACGCAGTGGAGTACCTCAAGCAAGCGAAGATGCAAGCGCTCAGGGGCAAGAGTTTGGACCAGCAGACTCAGTCGCTCACGGGCCAGATCAATGCCATCAAGAATAAGCTCGTCACCTACGAGACCGAGCTCGACGAACTGGCGGCCACGATCGAGAAGTTGGCCGAGGAATACAAGTCGAAGTTGCATGACCAGACCGAAGCTCGCCAAGAACTCCAGATGCTGGAAGCACAGCGAGCAGTGGCAGCGTCAGCAGCAGCACAAGAGGTGGCAGCAGACTCTAATGTGCAAGGTCTGCTCAGTGCCGCCCTTCAGTCCAAGATCCCAGAGGGCGGCTGCATCCCGCCCGCGCTCACCGCCAAGGTGCAGGAGGTCGCTGAGCTGTTCGACCAGTTGCAGCAGCAGCACCTGGCAGCCGTGGGGGCGCAGGCGGGAGGCGACAGCGGCGGCATCGGGGGGCCGCCGCCAGCGCCTGGCGCGGGAGCGGCAGGCCTGGGCGGCTCGCCATGGCCTGGGCCCCCCTCCGCCGCCGCAGCCTGCGGAGTGCCCCCCGCAGAGCGGGACGCAGCCGAGGCGATGTCGGTCGGCAGTGGAGAAGAAGCGGCAGCCCGTGACCTTCATGACGTCGAGATGCCCCACATGTTTGCAGGCCATCGTCGCACAGCAGACAGCTTGGCGCAGCTCTCAGAGATCATGGCCTCCCACGGCAACGACGACGAGAGGGCCAAGAAGGTACGCGGAGCTGCGGCAGCGGTGCAGGCCGCGACCTCAGGGACGTCGTCGCCGTCTCTTTAACAAGCTCGGCATCGTCACGTTCAACGGGAGCTGCTGGCCCACGCTCAAGCAGTTCATCAAATCCCGCGCTGCCAGTGACTGTTCTTTGATTTGTGTCCAGGAACACAAGCTCAGAGATGGGGATGTCATTGCACAGCAAGTCCAGTGGTGCCAATCAATGGGTTGGTTGGCGCATATCTCACCAGCAGCACTCAATGACAATCAGCAGATTGTAAGTGGTGTTGCCATCCTAGTCAGAGCCAACCTCGACATTGGCATATCCAACATGAGCTTCAGGAGTACAGTGGACCGCAGTCGTCTTACTGGTCTACTTTTGGAGCTCCCTGGCCTACCTCGGCTAGGGCTTATATGCGCGTATTTTAAATCAGCTGGCGGGCTTGGAGAAGTCAACCTAGGCCTGTTAGCAGACATCGCCGTCCAGCAAGATCAGGAGAGGGCCCCGATCATCGTGGCTGGAGATTTCAACCTTTCGCCGTCCAGGATCGAGAGCCTCGATTACCTCCACAGGGCCTCCCTTCAAGTGGTTGCCCCATCGAGCCCAACCTTCCGTGTGAAGAAAACTCAATCGGTTCTGGATTATTTCATCATCAGTAAGACGCTCAGCGAATACGTCGACAAGGCCCGCACGTGGGCCAACTATCCGATGTCTCCCCACAGGCCAGTGTGTCTCGACCTCTCGGACTCCGACAGTTTCATGATCCCAGTGTTGGTTCGGCCGCAGAGGCTACCGTCAACACGGCCGTTCGGGCCACAGCCTCGACAGCTGGCCTGGACCCAGAGTGCATGCGCACTTGATTATGCAGATCAATTACTAGCTGATGCCGCCAAGCCTCTCAGCCATAAGCAAAAGCAAGCAGTATTAGACGTCGTCTATTTCACGGTCGTCAAAGATTTGGAGCAGACTGTCAGCCGAGAAACGGACACTCCGCTGAAGCATTCCTCTACTCCCAGGGCCAGCCCCCCTACCATCAAATGGGTAAGAGCTAAGCACACAGTCGCCAAAGCTAGATCAAGCTGGAAATCCCTAGAGGCTCCTCTACGTTGGCTTCGCAACAGGCTAACGGACATCAATTACAGCATCCATCATCTAGATCATCAGCAGCTAGTCTTTGTCGTCGCAGGGCTGCAAGACGCTCCTGACGAGTTTCAAGAGGTCGAGAGCCTCAAGCAGGGGCTCCTCGCTTCCCAGCAGCTCGGCGAGCTGCTGATCTCCGACAGTGCAGCAGGTACGCTAGCAATGGGCACAGCCAACGACGCCATCGGGACCCTGATCGAGGACTTGGACAAGTCCATCGATTCGGAGCGTGGCAAAAGCAACCTGGCGGCCTCTAAGGCCTGGGCTTCCTGGGTGCAGACCTCACTACAAGGTGGCGTTGGCTGGGCACATCGCTGGTCGCGCAATCTCGAGGCTTGGAAGCCCGCGTCTACTTTCCATCGCGGCCAGTGGTCAGGCAGGCCGTCGAGAATTCTGGAGGGGGAAGCTGAACGACTTGCCAGTATTTGGGACACGCAAACGAGGACCCAACCCAACCCTGTTCCTGGTCATATCGACGATCGTGTCGCTCTGGGCCTTCTTACAGGTGAAACGGTGCAAGCTGCTGCCAAGAGCTTCCCCCCCAGAACAGCCTCGACCTGGGACGGAGTCCACCCGAGGCATTTTCTCTTGCTTTCGCAACCGCAGGCGGATCTCATAGCTCGGCTCATCCTGGTCATCGAATGCCTGGGGTTTATGCCGTCGCAGCTGCAAGCTATCATATCGGTCCTCATCATGAAGCACAAGCAACAGGATAAGTCAGCAACAAAGCCAGCTATGAGATCCATAGGAATGATGTCAGGCCTCTACCGCACGTGGGCGCGTATTCGTCAGTCAGCCGCTCGAGAATGGGAGAGGCACCATAGGCGACCCTTTCTCGCCCATCAAGCAGGTCATTCGATAGTCGAGCTCGTTTTCAAGCAGAACCTGGATTGCGAAACGTATTCTAAGAAGAGTGAAGCTTTTGTGTCGGGTATGGTTCTGTATGACCTCAGTAACTACTACGAGCACGTCAATAGAAGCAAGTTAGCCAAGCGAGCCCTTAGAAGTGGTTTCCCAGCTACCCTCTTAAGGCCCATCATCAGCATTTATTCGAGTCCTAGGTTCGTCGCCCTCCAGGATATGATCGTGTACGTTGGTTGTACTAAGTATGGTCTAGCTGCAGGGTGTGGGTTTGCTACTTATCTCATCCAGATGTACACCCTGGAACCCCTGGACTCCTGGACCCACCAGAATCCCTCCCTCGACCTCTTCATGTTCATTGATGACCTCCTTTTGAAGTCTCACAGCCAGAAGCCCAAGGTCGTGGTCAGCAGCCTCGACTTGGGCACTCGCCGTTTGCTCGCCAGTATCAAGCAGGATTTGGATTGCAGCATATCGCCAGCCAAGACGCAGATGGTTGCCTCGACCCCGAAGCTCAGGTCTCTCTTGAAGAAAAAGCTTAAGGATCGTGCAGGCTCCAACTTGGACATCTCTGCCCCGAATCTTGGAGTGGAAACCGCCGCAGGAGCCCCCCAATGCCGATGGAGAACGAACAGGTTGACCAGGACGAGGATGGAGCAGATCAAGAGAAGGATGAGGAGGCTTGGAGCTATTCAGAAAGGAGGTGGAGACACGAGGAAGGTTTACAACACGGGGATTTTTGCAGCAACGTCTTTTGGACATGAAGTGACGGGCCTTAATAATTCGCAACTAGCTAGTGCCCAGCAACAATATTTAAAGCTAGCGGGGCCCAAATGCGCCACTAGAAGCAGGACTTTAAGCTTAATCCTAGTGGGTGACCCCACCTGGAAGCTTGCCCTTGGACCCGCCATGCTGTGGCACATGCCCGTGTGGAGTGCCGCCACCAATTCGT